TAGGTTTTAGCTTCCTTGAATGTTTGGTAAAACTCCCCTGTGAAGCCATCTGGCCCCGGGCTTTTGTTTGCTGGAAGCTTTTTGATTACTGCTTCGATTTCCTCCATAGTTATTGGCCTATTGAGATTTTTAGATTCTTCCTGTGTGAACACTCAGCACTGAGCCCTCAGCACCTGAACACTCAGCACTGAACACCCAGCATCTGAACCAGCTCGCCTTTCCAGACCAGTGTCGGCTGCAGCTACAGGAGCTCCTTGAACTTGTCCGAAGAGCCGTGTTCTTTCTCACTTCTGAGACTTCGCTGAAGTTCAGGCTAGTCAGGGTGGTGCAGTGCGTGTATAGTTCTGCTTCCCCTCTAAGTTTAAAAAACCTGAAAATTGAGTTTTATCCAAGACGCCGAGCCTGTCGAATGTTCTTCATAAACACTAATCATCTCTGTAGCCTCAACTTAGAGACTTTTTAACTGTAAAAGTAATGTAATCAATCACATTATAAAGGGCTTTGAAAGTATTGGGGGCATAAAACCTAACCATAACCTTCTTGATATCATTTATGTTTTTAGTGAGGTCCCTTTAAATCTATGTTTTACATAGACATAGCTGTTCCATCACCTGAAAAAAAGATTATAATAATAATAAAAACTAACATGTAGATAGCACATCCTACGAGCAAAATACCTTTCTAGGCATTTTACATACATTAGCATCTTATTTTCACGGTGAGCCTGTGAGGTCGCTCCTCTCACTGTCCCGTTTTACAGACGAAGAAAACAAGGCCCCAAAGGTAACTGACTTGTCCTAACCGCACAGCTGAGTAAACGGTATAGCCATGGATTGAACTCATGAAGTCCAACATCGAAGCTCCTGCTATATTTCATATGTATGTGTATATATATACACACATATACACACAGAGACACACATACATATATATATTATCTTTATATACAAAAGGTTAATATGCAAAGTGTCCCCTCGGGAGTTCGACCGGGAGACCAGGAGTTTGATTGCTCACTCTGTTGTGCGCTGACCACCAGGGGGCAGCACAGAGTGAAGGAAGGCCCCGGCTGGCAGCTGGAAGGCCCAGATCGGCCCTGATCACCAGCCAGGCCTAGGGACCCTACCTCTGCACAAAATTTGTGCACCGGGCCTCTAGTATGCTATATATAATGTAATATGTTACATTACATACTACATGGAAAGTACTTAGACCAGTGTCTGGACAGTGGCATGAAGTCATTAAATGCTAGCGATGATCAACATGGATGTTATAAGGACTGCATTGAATGTCATTTGTTACACTTTAAATCTTAGGTTATCACTAAATGAGGTGGGTTTATCTTACATTAGGTCAAAAGTAATTTTTGATCCCATCAAGCTATCTTATTACCCATTATTATTATTTTTTTAAATCCTCACCTGAGGATATTTTTCCATTGATTTTCAGAGAGAATGGAAGAGAGAAAGATAGAGAGAAATATCGATGTGAGAGAAACACATCGATTGGTTGCCTCCTGCATGCACCCAGTCCAGGACTTAGGCCAGGGAAGAGCCTGCAACCAGGTATATGCCCTTGACCAGAATCGAGCATGGGACCCTTTGGCCCTGCAGGCCAACGCTCTATCCACTGAGCCACACCGGCTAGGGCTTATTACCCATTATTTTTTATGACTGCACAATATCCTATAGAATGACCCTGCAATGATTAATTCATTGTGGCTGTTGGTTATTTTAGTCTTTTTTTAATTATTATTATAGATAACACTTTGAGCATTATCTTTATGCATTACACTTTCCCCCTTAATTTAGGTCATCTTGTAAAGGACAAATCCCCAGAAGTAAGACTTATGTACTAAAGGGCTTGAGCATTATTATGCTTATTTATTCTTATCAGAAATGCCTTTGCAAAGGCCTTGTATCATAACTATGTTTTAGGGAGTCTGTTCAACAGTTCAATATTTACAGTGTGAACTTCTTTCCATTAATACTCGCTCCTCCCAAAGGGCCTGTGCAGAATAAATCCCATCCCTTTTCAATATGACAGACTTTCAAATTAAATTTTTAAAAATGTTTGCCTTATCCGTCCACACCCCGTTGTGCCCTCTCAGCTTCCCTTCAGACAGATTATACCCTGAGCATCCCCCCACTCCCTGCAAGCCTCTCTGGTCTGACCCAGTCCCCAGCCTGCAGCCTGAGTCACAGTCTCCCAGGACATTCCATGGTCCTCGGTCCCTGTGAACTTGGAGATTCCCGACAGGGCCGGGCAGCAGAGCAGGCGGGTTATCACTTCCTCAACCGACCCCGACCGGGGCATCTATTTCCAGCGACACAACCTCGGGTCACATTCACATTTTTGGCACGAAAAGCCGCTGCTGGCTCGTGGGTTCTTTCTGTCACTGAAACCCCCTCTGGTGTTCCCACGAGGACTATTCAGTCAGCTTTCCCACATCCTGTGCGGATGGCGCTGAGTGACGTTATTGACATAGGTTTTCACATAAACTTTAATTAGTTTGTTTAAGTTTCCTTTCCCAGGATGTTGCGATACTTCCAAATCGATGTACTCGACGAGGGCCTTTATGCTCTCTGAGTCTTCATTCAGACAGGAACAAACATACAGGCTGAGACCCCTGAGCGCAGCCGTTGGCACTGGACAGGGGTCCCCTGGCTACCAGCGGTCAGCGTCTGTGGACAGTGCTTCACCAGCAAAGAATCCGCAGCTGCGAAGTCCCCCCAGTGCCATAACAACCAGCCACATTCACCCGCCCCACTTCTGAAGACATCTAGGAGACCCGTGTGACGGCTTGCTGGGACTCAAATGCATCATGATTATATTGTGTCCATTAATTTTTATCTGAGTGATTTTTTAATCATCTAAAAAGGCATAAATGATTTTTACCCGGGTCTCACAGCTGTCCTTGTTTTCTAAGTACTCACAGACCAGCACAGACTACTATTAAATCTATGCTGGGCAAATGTCTGCAGTTCCTAACGTCTCTATTAGATTCTCATCCTGGTGAGAAAAGCTCATCTGTGCATCCATGTGTTTTTTTATAAACTGACACAGCAGCAGGCTGAACCAATACTTATCATTTCAGCCCCCAAATAAAAAATATGATAAGTCATCTATATAATAAAAGCCTAAGCAACCATTACAGCAGAGTGATGAGAATGACCGGTCGCTGTGATGCGCACTGACCACCAGCGGGCAGACGCTCAACGCAGGAGCAGGCCTAAGCCAGCAGACAGACATCCCCCAAGGGGTCCTGGGCTGCAAAAGGGTGCAGGCTGGGCTGAGGGACACCCCTCCAGTGCACAAATTCATGCACCGCGCCTCTAGTATCAAATAAAATGAAATATTCTGAGCCCTCTCGCCTGGGAACTTTCTGGGTCCTGTGATTCAGATAGCCTGCAGGGTGGAGAAGACGCTCTGCTCACGTCGTGGAATTGACCCTGGAGGCGGGCTCTCTGGTGATTCGATGGGAACTGCTCTCAGTTGTCTTAGAAGGGTCACAGGACACACGTAAAGTGCTCCTTGTAGTTCAGGAGGGTTCATTGAGTTGCTTGCCTTCCAGGGTCCTCATTGGCTCCCCGCTGGTTGGCCAGCCCAAGAACAGGACAGGCGACGTCTACAAGTGTCCCGTGGGGAGGGGAGAGGCACTGCCCTGCGTAAAGTTGGATCTACCAGGTATGTAAAGTCTGAGCGGTAAAGTCCGGTCCTAAAGGCTGCCCCGTGTTCTAACTGCAAATAAATGTCAGCCAACCCAAGAAAATATTCAAAGTGCCCTATATACTTCCTTCCGTTCTTATCAGGCAACTCCAGGTAAGATGGCATTTTGAGCCCCTCGGCCCTTCATCTGTTGTAGAAATTCACCAGAGACTAACCACAGATCTAGAAGGTCTTCCTAGTGCTGTTGCATGTAACTGCCTCCATTGTTCAGCATCCTTTCTGAACCAGTGGTGACATGAACGACCGTTCCAGATAGACCCACCCATCCCCTTTCCTCCAAAAAATCCAACTTAGCGTGTGTGTTTTACACGAAACTAGCACAAGAGGAATTGCAATAGGCGAGTCAAACTTGTAAAAGAGAAGACCGCAGGTATGTTTCCATCGAAGTAGAGGTTTTTGGTAGAAACATCACTGTCGCTAGAACGTGACTAGAAAGTTCCTGGGAGAACTCTCCAGGAATTAGAAACGTCGGTGTGCGATGCAACATGAGGTGCCATGGGAGTGACTCATAGCCCGCAGGGTCACTTCAGATACTGTCCTTCCAGCTCTCCCTTTAAACACTTCCCAGTGGTTTGCTTATTGCAGACGTGTTTTCCTGTACAGTCAGGAGCGTAGCTGTAATCGCTGCTCTCATACCCGTTTCTAACCATTCCAACGACTGGAATATCTCAACTTTGTCCCCATTGATTCTCTCTCTCTTGAGGCCAGGTCACCTTCTCTGTTTCTTCCTGTGCTTGGGTTTGTGTCCGGGGCTGCCCTTGGGGCTACAGGAGTGGGGATCGGGGTGTTACATGCCCGTGAATAGTCCCAGCAGGCGGTTTCCTTGGCTGGACTCAGTTTCCAGGCCGGGCTGCACGCACACAGTTCAAGTCATTGAGCTACTTGGACGGAATACATGTGTACATGTCCGAACGCGCCTCATGGCTCTGCTGTCCAAGAGATCCCCTCGCTTCACAGGTGCGGTCATTGCCCCGATGTCTGACCTTTTATAAGACAGAAAGACGGAAAGACGAGTTCTCTTTGAGGTTTAGCCACTGACTAGGCCTTCCCTGAGGGGAAAACAAACCAACACAAAGGCAGGAAGCTCACCCACTGCTCCGTCTTCTGACATGAATGGGTCCCTCCGGGTCTGCCCGCTCTCCGTCTCTCCTCTCCCCACAGATGCCTGTCACACGCCAGCGTCACACCTCGAACCCAGATCGTTCGAGTCTAAGGGAGATTACGCCCACTTCCAGGTGCTTCCAGAGCCAGTCAGACTGAGCTCTGCCACGGAGGCCTTGTCTGATGCCGACAGGACGTGGCCACTCAGGCATCCGCTCCCCTTGCTTCCCTCAGTCCATTTATAGCCGGGCCTGAGGGAAGGAAGATTCTAGCAGGAGTGGGAGCCAACCCTGCAAGGATGTCCGTGCACTTGGGGCAGGGGAGACCCTTTGGCGTTTCCTGTCCGATCTTTTTGGTTTTTCAAGGTGAAGAAGTAGAAATTCTTGCCAATTTTTTTTTATTTTATTATTTTTTAATTTTTTTAAAATTTATTTTATTGCTTGAAGTATTACAAAGAGTATTATATATGTCTCCCTTTTTTCCCCTTCTTGACAATCCCCCGGCCTCCCCTACCCCCCAGTGTCTTATGTCCATTGGTTATGCTTATATGCATGCATACAAGTCCTTCGGTTGATCTCTTACACCCCCTCCCAACCCTCCCGGCTTTCCCCCTGTAGTCTGACAGTCTGTTCCATGCTGCTCTGCCTCTGTATCTATTTTTGTTCATCAGTTTATGGTCTTTATTATCCATAAATGAGTGAGATCATGTGGTGTTTTTCTTTCATTGTCTTGCCAATTTTTTTTGCCAGTCGGCATGTTTTAGGACCCAACCTTCCTACTTGCAATGCCAAAGGCAGTTCCTTCATTGTGTCCTCTTTTTAAATCCAAACTTCCCAACCCCGGCTCTGATCCTGCTATAGTTTCCTCGGAAACCTCAGGGTGTCCCCGGAGGCTGAGACGAACGGTCAGAAAGTTTGTGTTTGAGTTTTCTTTCCTGGCCTGCTCGCCTGTGTCCTTCTTCTTGCCAGAAACGCCATGTCTCATCAGTAGTCACGTGTCACAGGCGGACATAAGAGGTCAGAAAGTGTGAGAGTTCACATCGTGTCCGCAGTGTCAGGAGGCTGACATTTTCCTGTTTGAATTAGCCACACTCTGTGTGAGGCAGTCCCACGTCTGTGGCCCTCGGCGCTCCGCCTCCTTTCACAGCTCAGCAGAACTATCTGGGACGATGGTCCTGTGCAGCTTCTGGGACAGGAGCCATGTCCGGAGCCTTCGCGCGCTCCCCGGGTTCCTGATGGCGCTGTGGAGGCCGGTCAGCTGGGCGAGGAGCAGCGTGTGCTGTGATGAGCGCGCGGCACAGAGAATGTGTTAACGACACAAACGTCTCTTCTGTTTCCAGTCAATACATCGATTCCCAACGTCACGGAGGTGAAGGAGAACATGACCTTCGGAGCCACGTTAGTCACGAACCCGAAGGGGGGGTTCCTGGTAAGAGAGCCCGGCGAGATGCTCGCCCAGGGATGGCGAACCTATGACACGCGTGTCAGAGGTGACACGCAAACTCATTTTTTTGGTTGATTTTTCTTTGTTAAATGGCATTTATATATATAAAATAGATATCAAAAATAGAAGTCTTTGTTTTACTATGGTTGCAAAGATCAAAAAATTTCTATGTGTGACACGGCACCAGAGTTAAGTTAGGGTTTTTCAAAATGCTGACACGCCGAGCTCAAAAGGTTCGCCATCACTGTGGCTAGTCCCTGCCTGGGAAGGCTGCCGCGGTCCCGTCACGTCGATGCGGCCGTGTGTGACCTTATGCCTTCTCACTGTTTCCCGTTCCCAAGGCGTGCGGGCCCCTCTACGCCTACCGCTGCGGCCACCTGCACTACACGACCGGCATCTGCTCTGACGTCAGCCCCGCGTTCCAGGTGGTGAACTCCATCGCCCCCGTGCGAGGTACAGCTCTGACAGCATGGTGTCTGGTGTCTGACAGTCGGGCTGAACGAGGCAGTGTGCGCGCAGGAGCGGGCCCCGGAGCCCGAGCTGTCTGCTCCGCTACCAGCATGACCAAGTTAGGCAAAGGCTGGCTCTGCCCATGGACAGCCAAACCTCACGGCTATTTTGGGAGCTGATATTAGGGTAAACAGCCCTCCGCAGAACGGTGTTTAAACACCCCGACGGGAGCTGTCAGGTTGGTTTATGTAAAAGGGCGAGCCTGTTGGAGGCTGGTGGCCTCGTGCGAAACATGCCCAGAATGAGAGCGGTCCTGAAGGGTGTCCCAAAATTCACGCAAGATTTGAATTCTGCGTGAGCATTAACAACAACAACAAAAAATAAAAGCCTAATTTTACTTGGTTTATTGAGTCAGATTCTCATATCTGTTGCCCTTTGATGTCAATCCCTTCAATTTGATAAGCATCACCAAGTACCAATCATGGCCCAGGAGCAGGGACAATGAAGACCAATGAAGACCACGGCTTTGCGTCTGTGCCAGCAAAGCCGTGGAGGCCATTTACCCGATGTGCTATTCCACACATAACCCTATACTGCATACTTTATGAATCAATAAAAAATGTACAATTTTTAATTATAAACCTGTGTTTTCTATCAAAATTACTTCTTGCGTGAATTTTGGGACGCCCTTTATGAAGCTCACACTGCGGCAGGCTCAGCCATGCCCACGCGGTGTTAGAAGGTTAGGGGGAGAGGAGCTTTGCCTGGTCAGACCTCCGACCCCGTGGTGACGGGATGCAATGGGCGCCACTTCTGCTTTTCTAACTGTTGTTTCCAGTCTGAAAGCCACGTGTGCGCCCTGTAAACGTCAGTGAGGCCTGGGCGCCCCCGGGGCCAGGAGCCGTCCTGCCCGAGGCGCATGCGCTGCCTGTCTTGCAGAGTGCGGCACGCAGCTGGACATCGTCATCGTGCTGGATGGCTCCAACAGCATCTACCCCTGGGACAGCGTCACCGCCTTCCTCAACAACCTGCTGGAGCGCATGGACATCGGCCCCAAGCAGACGCAGGTGCGGCGGGGCGTGTGCACCCACACACACGTGTCAGCACACGTGGAACACAGATGTCCCCAGAAAGACGGAGGCGGAAGGTGGTGAGCTAGCCTCAGCCCTCCTGGGGGGCGCCACATGGCTGTCCCCAGCGAGCAGGCGCCTGGGGCTGGTGAGGGAGAGCCGGTATGTGCCCTTCAGGAGGACGGAGAACTCGAATCAGTGAAATCACTCAAAGAAAATGGCCTTTTGGTTGGTGGGTGTGGCTCAGGGGTTGAGCGTTGACCTATGAGCCAGGAGGTCAGGGTTCGATTCCCAGTCAGGGCTCAAGCCTGGGTTGCGGGCTTCATCCCCATAGGGGGCGTGCAGGAGGCAGCCGCTTGATGTCTCTCTCTCATTGATGTTTCTGTTTCTCTATCCCTCTCCCTTCCTCTCTCTAAAATCAATAAAATGTATTTTAAAAAGGAGGAACAACATATAAAAAAGGGGAAAAGAAAAAAATGGCGTTTTCACATCAGAAAGCGTTCCTTTTCTTAGACGCAGGTGTCTGCTCTGCATTGAGCTTCCCCGTCAGCCGCCGGGGGTTGGCGAGGCCGGTGAGCCTGTTCGTGGGGGTGGCAGGCTGCCCTGAGCCCCTTCGGATCTGTGACCCGCTCCCCCCGCCCCCCACCCTGGTCCGCACAGGCCTTATTTCGGTTCCTGAGGACTCGCTTCCCTGGGCCTGTCCCTGCTGGGTCAGTGGCTATCCCGGAGCCATGACCGTAGAGAAGAAACGTTAGCACTTGTGTAGCCAGCACTCTCGGGTCATGGAGGGGCCGCGAGAGGCTGCTGCCTGGTGCGGGTTCGGCTTTCTGGCCGCGGACCGTCAGCCCCGACAGCAGCCCAGCGCCCTCCTTCCCGAGGCCCCGCTTCTGCCGAGGCGCACAGCACCCCTGCCGCCTGGAACCCTGGACCTCAGGTCTCCAGTCCGTCCTTTCCAGGGGTCCTCACCCTCCCTGGGCCAGTGGCTGCCCCCACCGGGAGCCCTGGAGCTCCCTCCCTGTAAGGTCGTCCTGAGATCAGCGGCTGGGCCCCCGCTCTCCCCTCTCCCCTCCCCACACCCCACTCCGCCCTCCCCTGCTTCACCCACCCGTTTACCTTCCTAGCCAGTCCTTTCTTCCCAAATCTGATCATAGTCTTGGGACATTTTTAGATTTCTAATATGGTTGGTCATTGGAACATTTGATTTTACGTTTAAGTCCCTTTATCTGTTTTGCTGTAAAACATGAATTGTGGGCAGCTCTGTGCAGAAGCCAGTGCAGCTGAGCCCCCTTTGTGGGAGGGACACATCACCCATTACCCCCTGCCTCCGTGCTCGGCCCTGCGCGGTCTCCTGTTCCTAGCGGTCAGGGCCGCAGGGAGGCTGCATGTCTGCAGGAGACGCACAGAGCAGCCATTCTCCCTCCCACGGAGGAATCCCAGCCGCCGGGGTGGGCTCCGGGTCCCGCCTTTCCTGGCAGGAACAACGCCTTCATTCAGAGGGACGCGGAGCCCGGGGCCAGGGCCACCCGCGAGGCCAGGGCGGGGCTGACCCCCAGGCAGACAGTCTGGTCCCAGTCCCGGGCTCCCGACCCCTTTCCACAGAGAGGGAGACCCCGGGTGCCACTCGCACCCCCAGTTCGCCCAGGGCACCTGCTCCCTAAAGAGCAGGGCGCTGGGTGGATGGCTGGGTCTGTGCCTCCCGGGAGCTCAGCTGCTCGCGGGCATTCATTCCGTTTTCCCCTCCCCGAGGGCTTCCCCTGCAGCCGCGCTGGGGGCCTCGGATGATCATGGAGAATGGGAGGCGCCTGTGTGATGCCGTGTTTCTCCCGCTGTGGCTCCTGGCACTCCTTCCTCAGAATCCCGGGGTGCTGGGGCCGTCCCCCAACCTCCAGCACTGGGAGCTCGGAGGGTGGGCGTGGGGCCTGCATTTTAAGTAAAGAATCCACATAGTCCTCACACAGGCCAACGTGGGAGAAACACTGGGCTAGTGCAGTACTATTACACTAGAGGCCCGGTGCACGAAATCCGTGCAAGGGTAGGCCTTCCTTCCCCAGGCTGCCGGCACCGGCTTCTCTCTGGCACCCGGGACCCAGGCTTCCCTCGCAGCCCCAGCTTCGTCCGGAAGGTCGTCTGCAAGGATGTCTGGTCTAATTAGCATATTACTCTTACTATTATAGATTGTGTTTGCGGGCAGGTGTGTGTGTGTGTGTGTGTGTCTGTGTGTGATTTTCAACACAGTGGATGCCTGAGGCCCTGAGATGGGCAGTAGCTTCTGGAATTTCTCCTCCCCTCTACCCTCCCCCCTCCATGTCGGACAGGGGCAGGCACAGAGCTGTGCGGGGCCCAGAGGGGAGGGGAGAGCTGGGTGAGGCCTCCCAGATTCTCGCTCAGGTCAGGGGTGGGAAGGCCTCGCTCATATCAGGGGTGGGAAGGCTGGGAGGGGAGTGACAGGCTTTGGGAAGACGGTTTCCCTGCAGAAGGAGCCTGTGGGAGGTTCGCTGGGAGGTGCCATGAGCTTGGATGTGTGTCGGGAGTTGGGGCACATGGGACTGTGGCTGCCTCCTGTGTCAGAGCAGAGGGGCCGCGCCGGGGCCGGGTCATCGGTGTGAAGAATGCATGTTGCCCGGGGTCAGTGTGGAGTCCTGCCAGCCCCTGTCCACAGGACCCCACAGGGAGGACGGAGGGGACCCTGTCAGGCCCTGTCCACAGGCCCCTGTAGGATGGACAGAGGGGACCCTGTCCATAGGCCCCTCTCCACAGGCCCCTGCAGGGAGGACGGAAGGGATCCTCTAAGGCCCTGTACACAGGCCCCCACAGGGAGGACAGCAGGTGGCGGCCAATTCCTCGGCTGCTGGTGGGAAACGGGCACCGGGAAAGGATGCAGGAGAGGGCAGAGCCCACAGACCTCACAGGACGGGGAAAGGCCTGTTCGCACCGTCTGTCCTAGGAGGGGCCAGCGGTGGGGGGGCCTCTAGCCTTCTGTACCTCCCACCTCTGCGCCCCCCACCCTGCTGCCCCCCACTGTAGCAGCGCAGGGAGAGGAGCGGACAGGACACAGCACCAGCCGGCCCCTCCCCCCGCGGGCTCCCCTCCTGCAAGGCAGGCAGTTAAGGAGCAGCGCCAAGGGTCTGGTTAGTTTTAATTCGGGTTGGACCAGATGACGGTGCTGCTATCTGGTCATTTGACCTGCAAATACAGCAGTTTCATGTGGTACAGCCTACGTTAAAATACAGGCCTTTTAAAGGGCCAGATGTTTCAACACTGAGGATAAGAAAAGTCATGAGCCCTGTATCTATACACAGGCATCGCTGAACAACTTTACGCTAAACTAGTTGCAAAGGGACAGTGGGCCAGAAAACTGTGTTCTGATTAGAATCGTACCCCTTATCCATGGGGTACGTTCCAAGACCCCCCCCCCACAGTGGATGCCTGAGGTCACAGATGGTACCGAGCCCGTTATATACTGCTTTCCCTGTACGTACATATCCGTGATGAAGCTCAATTTATAAATGAGGCATAATAAGAAATTGACCACAACGTGTCTGAGTCCCAGCATCTCTACTCTGGCGCTTTGGGGCCGTATTATTCCGCAGGGTAAGGGGACTGAGCACCAGCTCTGCGATGCCTGCAGTGCCATCTGGTACCCCGGACGGACACTGAGTGACTGACGGGCGGGGAGTGTGTGCGATGTGGAGGCTCCGGACTCGGGCATGCCCCCCGTCCTGGGTGGGGTGGAGCAGGGGGTGTGTGTGGGGGCGGGGGCGTGGATTTCATCACACCGCTCAGCACAGCATGCAGTTTAAAGCTATGGATTGTTTATTTCTGGAATTTCCCTTCTAATATCTCAGACCCCAGTTGACCATAGGTAACTGGGACACTGACAGCGAAACCAGGGGTGAGGGGGCTGCATCTTTCCCGGGTTCCTGCTTGTCACGTTGACGACGTTTACAGTACATACCGGGTACAGTGCGGGGGGGCCCTGGGGGAGGGCCCGAGAAGGGGGACCTTAGGAGAGGGGGGGTTCTGTGGCCTCTGCTCTGCCATCAGGGTGTCCTTAGTGACTGCAGGTA